CGTTGATTCCTTGCTCAAGGTGATTCGCAGTTGAGACAAAGACTGTCACAGAGGATTCGAATCCGGCACTTGCGGAGTTAAAAGCCGACCACTTTGCCACTGTGTCAACATACTCCGATTATGACAAAGATTAGTACAGTTCAACGGTTGTGGCTCGTCGCTGAAGCCGACCGAACGTTTATTCTTCGTGTATTAAACCTTTGAATTAGAAAATTGTTTCTCTAATGATTATGCTGGACTTTTCGAATGTAGTTTTATTATTTTATTTGCGAATTGTATCTTGTGTTGATTTTCGGCCTGCTATTTGATGGGTCACAACGGAATGCAGCCGTATAGCGCACGCATCGGACAACATATCCATATGACTACACAGTTGCACAATATTGCCTTTCTTATTTGCGAGACAGCGACTTGTTACACTTTGCAAAGCAAAGCTACTATCGACTTCGCCACAGTCCCTCAGAATGGTATTAACCTGATGACAGAGTTTTGTGCAGTGAGTGGTAAAACGATTTTATGTCTCTCCGTCAGGTGCTGGCTATCCACTCCAAGTTCCTGCAATAGCCTTCACAACTTCGATTTTGTCACCTTTAGTATGCCTTTCCCGTAACTTTGTATCACGTATAATTTGTTTCACTGTTTACAGGCTCAGTAGAGAGTAAAGATCAAATCTGCAAACAGATCATTGCGATTAAGTGCGATAGTCCTCGTCATTCTTTATCCAGCAGAAATAGCAGCTATTAGGCTTTTTCGATTGTATCTTACTTCTGTCGTACGTTTCTTTCAGCGAAACGTTGTCACGCCGAAGTTTTGGCTGCGTACTCAAACTGTCATCGAGACGTCTATGTTTACCGTTAGTTTCTCTGAACTTCCCATATGCGAGGAAAGGCTTAATTACTGACAGTGTCGATACGCTGACAGCTTCCTTGCGATCAGGCTTTATCTAGCGCCGAAGCCGTTCCTGAGGTTGTGTCAGTCGTGATTCGTTGCTTGATATACCTTCATTCTAAAGCTACTTCCAGCCTTGATTTTGCAAAACACTTTTGATGTACCACATGTAACAACCTGACGTAGAGCAAGAGTGACGTAGCATGTCAGCCTACTTGCGATCTTGATGCAGGACAAATTTCAACCTACTAAGCATCAATAGGCTTCTTCTAACGGTCACTGGTTCAAAGTGAGTGACAAAGGACCTAGATAAGCGACTTCGCAAAGCATCAAATTATGATATGCAACATTCATCTTTTCTTACTGCATTTGTGTAGTCGTTATATTGAAAGGTATGAGTGCTGGAAAACGATGAGCATGACCTACTATTACAGCGATTAAACTTCAGTTTGTGTAGTCTGATTACAAATCAGCGCTTGGAAGACGGCTTTCTATCCCTCGAGAATCATTGTGACTGTTTTCGAACCATTTTGACAGTGACGACGAACTTCACACTTGCGTTGTCCGCAGCATGGAAGCTCCATGTGATGTGCGAGAGTAAAGGAC